ACATATATATATATGTAGACATAAGATTGGAAAATGCTGGTGATTCCGTTTGTCTCCAGATCCACAAAGCGTCTAGGAAAGCAGCTCGTAGCACCCTTCGCAGCAGACACAGAAGACACGTGGACTTTACAGCGCCGTCAAGGCATCGACTGCGGCGGAGCGTGTGCCGGGCCCTTTTTCCCTGCCGCCGAAGGCCTTGCACACCCACTGCCGCGCTCGCTCCATTTGAAGGGGCCCTGAGACACACAAATAAATACACACAAATAAAAAGATTCCCCATATTTTTCAATATTTTTGGGTTTTTCCCTACCTAGGCTCTGCCTAGAAGGGTTCTTACTCTCTAGCTTAAAGGGGCCGGGCAGTGGAAAGCGCCCGGGGCGGTTCCCCCAGTCCCCGCCCCGCGGTTCCCCCAGTCCCCTGGGAGCTTTAGCTTTAGCTTTAGCTTTGGTTTTAGCTTTAGCTTTAGCTTTAGCTTTAGCTTAGCTTTAGCTTAGCTTTAGCTTAGCGCTAGCTTAACTTTAGCTTAGCGTTAGTTTAGACTTAGCTTAGCATTAGCTTAGAATTAGCTCAGCTTTAGCTTAGCTTTAGCTTAGCTTTAGCAAGATTTAGCTTAGCTTTAGTTTAGCGTTGGCTTAGCTTTAGCTTAGCTTCAGCTTAGCGTTAGCTTAGCGTTAGCTTAGCTTTAGCTTAGCTTTAGCTTAGCTTCAGCTTAGTTTTAGCCTTAGCTTTAGCTTTAGCTTAGCTTTAGCTTAGCTTTAGCTTAGCTTTAATTTAGCTGCAGCTCAGCTGTAGCTCAGCTGTAGCTCAGCTTTAGCTTAGCTTTAGCTTAGCTTTAGCTTAGCTTTAGCTTAGCTTTAGTTTAGCTTTAGCTTAGCTTTAGTTTAGCTTTAGCTTAGCTTTAGCTTAGCTTTAGCTTAGCTTTAGCTTAGCTTTAGCTTAGCTGTAGCTTAGCTGTAGCTTAGCTTTTCTGTTACTACTAATGCTGCTTTCCTAGGGGCTCCAATTCCTAGGTAGGGTCGCACTGGGATAATTTGTCTTCCCCCCCACTTCCCATATTTCCCTACCTAGGCTCTGCCTAGAAGGGTTCTTACTCTCTTAGCTTAAAGGGGCCGGGCAGTGGAACACGCCCCGGGCGGTTCCCCCAGTCCCCGCCCCGCGGTTCCCCCCAGTCCCCTGGGAGCTTTAACTTTAGCTTTAGCTTTAGCTTTATCTTAGCTTTAGCTTAGCTTTAGCTTAGCTTTAGCTTAGCTTTAGTTTAGCTTTAGCTTAGCGTTTCGCTTAGCTTTTCGCTTAGCGTTTAGCTTAGCTTTAGCTTAGCTGTAGCTTAGCTGTAGCTTAGCTGTAGCTTAGCTTTATCTTAGCTTTAGCTTAGCTTTAGCTTAGCTTTAGCTTAGCTTTAGCTTAGCTTTAGCTCAGCTTTGGCTTAGCTGTAGCTTAGCTTTAGCTTAGCTTTAGCTCAGCTTTAGCTCAGCTTTAGCTTAGCTTTAGCTTAGCTTTAGCTTAGCTTTAGCTTAGCTTTAGCTTAGCTTTAGCTTAGCTTTAGCTTAGCTGTGGCTTAGCTTTAGCTTAGTTTTAGCTTAGCTTTAGCTTAGCTTTAGCTTAGCGTTACTGTTACTACTAATGCTGTTTTCCTAGGGGGTCCAACTCCTAGGTAGGGTCGCACTGGGATAATTTCCATATTTTCTTGGAAATCGCTGATGAATTGTGTCTGTGCGTTTCTTTCCCTCCTGACCATTGTGCTATGTGCCCCCCGAGTGCTGCTTGAGCCTGGCCATGGATGTGGGGCAAGCAGAACTTGCACCACGGAGGGCACCCTCTCTCCACGGTGAAGGCATTGGATGAAGAGCCTGTAGATAAGGGGCCCATGGTCTGGAAGCTGGCATCCCCCGCCTTCATCGGAGAAGGAGTCCTCCAGGGTCCGAGTACTCCTGAGCACATTGCTCGACGAACGCTCCCACCGTTTTGCAATCGTTGTGGGCAGCACACCATCGATCGCCTGCTCACCTTGCGAAAGACTGTACGACCCGACAACAAGCGCGACTCCGCGCATGCTTCGCAACTGCACACTTCTTGACCCCAGAGGAGTCCAGTTTTCGAGGCCCTGGAGGGTGCACCATGTGCCTACGCCTGTCACAGACGCGCCATGGACAAGGTACAAAAAAAAACTTGTCCTGCGCGCGGAGTGGTACGCGCCAAAACTTCAACCGCAGCGGCTATGCGTTGCTCGCTCGAGCTTTCGATGCCTCGCTCGCCCCCCCGACCGCGCCCGCCCTGCACTCGCCTCCGTAGAGGGCGCGATGCCCCGTTAGGGCAATGACGTTGATGCAACACTAAGATTCGCGCGCGCACCCCCGCCCCCACCTCTCACTTAGATTTCATAACTCTACGACCCCAAACGGGGTGACGTGCCTGCGCCAACGGAAAAAAAGGAACCAAGAAAAAAAAGCCCAGCATGTCTGCGCCGGCGCCTGCGATGACAGGGCAATGCCGACACCTCATTATTAGGCGTGGTGGAGGAACCTGTGCTTCACCACGAGCGGCACCTGCGCCGATAAGAACCATGTAGGCGGCGCCTGCGCTAACATTGCGAAAACGAGAGGATGCCTGCGCCCTCTTCTTTGAAGTCCCGCGGCGCCGGCGCCTGGCTCCGCGGGGCGCCCACTCGGATACATCGGCTGCCCACGCGGTGCCTGCGCCAGCAACTCGATGGCGAGGCGACGCCTGCACCATGTCTTTTGAAACGCCCGCGGAGCCTGCGCCGAGTCGTGCGCAGCGCCAGCGCTGATGAAGCGGCAGCGCCAGCTGCGCGCGCAATAACGCCACCATGACGGGGCGATGCTTGCACCCAATTAATTGACGCGTCTGCTATGCCTGCGCCGAGTCACGCTTTCTGAGCTCTGGGCAATGGCGGGAGCGGAACGGAGCGGTGGTTGGACCGCACGTCTTCGGCGTGACGTCGCTAGTCTTGCGTGGAGCAGGCAGCAGCGGCCTGAAAGCATCGAAGCCCGCGTTCGCGAGGTCGACCTTGCGACGGACGGTTCACCAGCGCGCCCGCCTCACCTGCCAGGTCGCGGAGCCCAGACAGGGTGCTCCGCTTTCTGTCTTTGGCTGACATTCGGCATCAGCATCTGGGAATCAGGATTGACGGCGACGACGGGGGTGACGGCGATGGCGGCGAGGCAACCCTCGCGGCCGCGATCACGATAATCTGCATTGCACCCCACTGCGCAAGATGAAGTTGGACGACGCCTGCAGTGTGGCTTCCCCCGTGGCCCACTGCATTGGGCTCCCCGCTTTCACCATCCAACTTGGTGGACTGTCTGTTCTCGGGAGCCCCTTCGGAACTGGTGAATCAGTTTCTCTTGATGCCCACGCAGGTGGGAGAGGGCCCCGTTCATCGAACGGTATATTTCTGATGGCCCTGTATGTATGTAGGGCGGGAAGGAGGGACGCAAGGAACAACCCCTGGACACCCCAGAGGGCCCACTGGCAAATACAACCGAGGAGCAGGGAGGAGGGACGAAATCCTCCTCCGCATCCTCCCCTCCTCCTGCTCCTCGCTCTCCTCATCATCATCATCATCATCATCATCATCATCATCATCATCATCATCACCATCATCATCATCATCATCATCATCATCACCATCACCATCACAATCACCATCACCATCACCATCATCATCATCATCAGCAGCAGCAGCATCATGATGCCCATCATCATCGTCATCATCATCGTCGTCATCGTCATCAGCATCATCATCAGTCTTATCATAATCATCGTCCTCGTCGTCATGATCATCACCACAACAATCATCGTAAACCTTACCACCACCACAAGTATCATCATGGCGTAACTAAGTGAGCCATGAAAGACCAACTTTAATCATCCGCAACCACCAGCATCGGGTTTATCCTTCCCATCGTCATCAGAATAATCCTCATCCTTATATCATCAGCATATATAATCCTCATCATCACAACCCTCATCCTTATCATCATCATGATCATGATCATCAGCTTCGTCATCATCATGATCGTCGTCGTTGTCATTGGTTACATCGTCCTCACCACCATCATCAATATCACCTACATGATCCTCACCACCCACATCATCATCAGCATAATCAGCATCGTCGTTCGTCGTTCATTATCATCCTCATCATCATCATCATCATCATCATCATCATCATCATCATCATCATCATCATCATCATCATCATCATCGTGATAATCGTCCTCATGATCGTCACTGCCAAAATCGTCATCATCAGCAGCAGCATCACAATAATCGTCGTTGACACAACCGTCATCCTCATCATCAGCATCATCATAATCACGATCCGCATCATCATCATCATCATCATCATCAGCATTATCCTCATCATCGTCCTCGTCGCCATCCTCATCATCATCAGCATAATCATCCACGTCATCATCATTATCACCACCATCATCTATCATCATCTTCGTCATCTTCATCATCTTCATCGTCATAATCTTCATCATCGTCATCATCGTGATTCCCATCCTCCTCATCATCAGCAGCAGATTCCATCTAATCATCATCGTCACCATCGTCATGATCATCATCATGACCCTCATCAGCATCATCATCAGAATCATCAGCATCATCATGATCCTAATCATCATCATTAGCATCATCATCCTCAGGATCATCATCATCATCATCATCATCCTCAGGATCATCATCATCATCATCATCATCATCATCATCATCATCATCATCATCATCATCACCATCCTCATCATCCTCCTCCTAATCATTATCATCATCATCATGTTCATCATGTTCATCATCATCATCATCATCAGCATCAGCATCAGCATCAGCATCATCATCATCATCATCATCATCATCATCATCATCATCATCATCATCATCATCATCATCATCATCATCATCATCATCATCATCATCATCATCATCCCCCCTTTCCCTCCTCTCCCCCCTCCTCCTTCCTCCTGGAGGGGGGGCACCTCCACACGCACGCCGCAGGCCACAGCCGCACCGGCCGCCCGCGCCTCCTCTCGCGGCCGGTCCTCGGCCCAGCTGCTCCGGTCGGCGGGCCCGGTGGCCGCCCCAGGGAGGCCCTGGCCCTGGCGGTAGAACTGCAGGACCTGCACCACCTCGGCTTCCAGACCAGGAGAGCCCAGAATCGAATCGATAAGTCGGATCGGCGATCGAAATGAATCGGATCGGCGGAAATCGGCAGCCGAGTCGGAAAAAGTCGAATCGGCCGAAATCGGCAGGCTAGTAGGCCTCCGTTGAGAAATCGGAGCCCAAATCGGATGCAATCGAAATCGAATCGAATCGAATCGGAGGAATCGAGATGAGCCCTGCCAGACCCGCTCGGGTCGTGAGAAAAACACAGCAAAAAAGGTCTCTACCCCCACCCTCCACGATTTCTGAGGGGGGGGGGGGGGTTCACTTCGCTCGAGAGCTCCCGAACGAAGTGAACCCCACCCTGCCCCTCAGAACTCGTAGGGGGTAGGGGTAGGGTTCGCATGTGGCCCCCTCGGGTCGTGAGGAAAACACAGCAAAGGTCTCTGACAGTTTTCGGCCTCTCGGGGCCCTCACCGGGCCGCCCGACCGTCCAAGAATGGCTCAGGATGAAGAGCCGGTCCCTGGAACAGGTCCAGACCTCTGGGGATCGACGTCTTGGGAAAATCATGACGTCGAGGGCCTGGGAGTCGGGGGGGGATCACTCCCCAAACAGCGCGCCCTGAGAAATTGGAAGGGTCCGGCGAGGATTCGCTACGTTTCCGCCCGTGGCCGCCTCGTGGCCGCCTCGTGCGATGGCTGGGTCCAGCGAGGTTTCGCCACGTTGCCGCCCGTGGCCGCCTCGTGGCTGCCTGTCTTGCACCACGTAGCTTACACCAAATAGCTTGCACCACATAGCTTTCACATCCACAGTGCAAGAACTTGATGGTTGGAATCCCCGCTGGATAACATGTTCCATGTGCTCATATGTGCTAGGTGTTTACAAAATCACGTCTCCGCGTCTCCGCGTCCTCTCCTCCTCCCCATCCTCCCCTCTTGCCCTCCCTGTCTCTGCCCCCCGCACTTCGTCTTCGGGGGGGGTGAACGGGGGATTATTTTACGCATCTGTATATGTTTTGACTGTGTCCCTCCTCATGATCAAGCCTTGATACAGAAGAACTGCCAGCTTCTCAACTGATGGGAAGGGCATTTCACCATGCCAGCAGTTCATGCCGCACCAGAAAGGCAGAATCGCAACCACTGCGCACTCATGTATTTGAGTCACGATTGTGCTGAGTTGCCTTCTTACTTACATGTCGATGTGTGCGTCTTGTTTTTGGTTGCGGGTCGAGTGAGGAAGAGAAGGAGGACGACGACGAGGTTGAGGAGGACAAAAGAAAGGACAAAGCCGCGAACATCGCAACGGATGGCTTTTTGACCAGTTTCGGCCTTCCAGGGCCCTCACTGGGCCGCAGCACCCTCAGATAACAGTCCGGGTTTAGAAGCTGGCCCTGGAGAAGGAGTCGAGACCTCCCCGGGTCCACGTCGTGGGACAGCACGACGTCCTCCTCCTACTCCTCCTGCTCCTCCTCCTCCTCGTCATCATTATCATCATCATCGTCACCATCATCATCATCATCATCATCATCATCATCATCATCATCATCATCATCATCATCATCATCATCATCATCTCATCCTCATCATCATCATCGTCATCATCATCATCAGCATCATCATCATCATCAGCATCATCATCATCATCATCATCATCATCTCATCTTAATCATCATCATCAGCATCATCATCATCACCACCACCACCACCCACCACCACCATCATCATCATCAGCAGCATCATCATCATCATCATCATCATCATCATCATCAGCATCATCATCATCATCATCATCATCATCATCATCATCATCCCGTCGAGGACCTCCAAGAATCTTTGGAGGCATCTGGAAACCTCTGGGGACGTCCGGAGACCTCGGGAGACATGCAGGAACCTCCAGGCACCTCGGTGGGAGACCTCTGGGAACGTCCGGGGACCGCGGGAGACATGCAGGAACCTCCAGGCACCTCGGTGGACCGTGAAGACCTCCCGAGGCCTCCGGGGGCCTTCCACAGACCTCGGGGGTGAACCTCCAGCGAAGCAGCACCGCCTGCTCTTGAGAAGCAGCAGAGTTTAAGGCTCTGCTAACGCTGGAGCTCAGGGAGGATGCGAAGACAACTTCGAAAATGAAAAAAGAGGTGGATGTTCGACCCACCAAAAAGAGCCTCCGACCGCGCTGATGCGATCGCGGTGGACAGGCCAGAGACGACGACGCACTGGACGTCACCGTCCCTATTCAGCTGAGGCTTGGCGCTGACGCCAAACTTGCCCCCCAAGACTGTGAGGTCGTTCTCCAGGAGCGCCATCACGTCAGCGCTAAGTCTCCAGACCGCCGAGCGCCCGACGGGAATACGGACGACGGCGTCGTACTCGGTAGAGCTCTTTGTCCTTCGCAGCAGGTCGTAATTGGCGAGGTCCTCCACCTGGAAGGCCAGAATGGGGGTGCCTGCACAAGCTTCCTTGCAGACGAACTCAAAGGTGACTGGGAGGGAAGAGTCCCAGCATCGGGAGGGCCCAAACTGGAGGAAGAGACAAAACGAGGACCACGCCCAAGACTGAGCGCGGAGGCATCGGTGCCCATCTCAACCATCGGCCATCTTGGACATCCTCGATCTGTGGATGCCCCTCGCGGCGCGGCGACGGCTGGCATGGACCATGCCCAAGATTGACACCGACCAAGGTCCCGCGACACCTTGGCCACCGTGCCTCCTCCCTCGACAGACGTCCCCCGGGACGACGACGCACCCCCTTGTGAGCCGCCTCGGGAGCCGCGGCTCCTGCCGCCGCACGCGCCCCCGCCACCCCCGAGGTGGGCCCGCACGTGCCCCCCGCCCCCCAGGGGGACGTCTGCGGCAGGGCACGGCAGGCTCCCCGCCGCGACGACGTGGGCGGTGCGCCCTCCCGGCGGCCCCGCGGAGGGGGGAGAAGCGAGCCGGGCCGGGCGGGCCTGCTCGGACGGCCGGAGAGTCCCACGGAGCCTTCTGAGAAGTGGTCGAGGCCCTTCCCATGGAGGGCGCCAGGGACCCTCTCAGAGGGCGCGAGGGCGCGAGGGACCCTTCTGAGAAGGACTTCTCCTGTTCACTTCCCTCGGCGGTGGACAAGCCTCCCTTTAGCAAACCACCTTTCAGTGAAAACGGCCTGGGACCGAACCCGACGGACCTGGACCCGCAAGAATGACGGCCGCGACGCCCTCTCGCGAACCCAAGAACGGCCAATTCGCTAATCGACGTGTCAGGGAAGGAGGTCTACCAACCTCCTATTCCCTCCCTCGTTCGCCGCCGAGACTAGCCCCGGCGTGGATCGCGGCTTTCCGAAACCGCAGACCGATCGATATCGCCTCGGCCGACGCCGGGCCATCAGCGGCCTTCACAGCCTTGAGCGCCCGCGCCGGCGTCGCCGCCGCGGCGGCACAGCGCGACCCTGGCGTAAGGTTGGCCTTCCCCGAGGGGAGCTTGCTGCTCCCCGCCGGGGAGCAGATGCTGACCGTGCGGTGGATTGCGCTTAGCCGTGCGGGAGACCACAGCGTGGCATATCACAGCGTGGCATCACCACGGCGCGGCATCCCACAGCGTGATGCCACGGCGGGACCCTTCGCACGGCTGAGCGAGAGCAGTCGAGTGGCTGAGCGACAACGGTCGAAGGTTTGGAGCCCCCTGAGGGCACCCAGAAATCTGATGCCTTCAATTTGTCAATGCGGGGCCCCTGGAGCTTCCGACCTTTGATGCAAGGCCGATTTTGACAGTCCCAAGGCCTGGCGAGGGTCCCCTGAGGCCGAAAACAAGCAAACATCTTCCGTCATGGTTCATGACATGCCGCCAGCATGTCTGGTTCGGAGGCAATTCTTGGGAGCCTCCCACACCATCTTGCTGGCTCTTGCGAACCGATGCTGGCCGACGCCAACTCGACGCTAGACGACGCTGATCGACGCTGAATCGGCGCAAAATCTGCACGAATTAACGCTCATGGGCGCTAAGCCACTCCAGCGCGGCGCTCTCTCGTCGGTTACCAGACGTCAGCGCACGCTGCTGCGCCCCAAAAAACGGACTTGCGAGGCCACGCAAGGCCCCCGTGATCTGCCACCGAAGCCTGGGCATCTCGTCGATCCCCGCCACCCTCGTGGGGTCCTCGGGCTCGCCGGGCTCCTCGCAGGGGCACTCGCCGGCGGCATCCCGCTCGATCTCGGCCCGCCGCAGCTCGGCGGAGCTCAGAAGCAGCAGCTCGGCGCCGTCCGCGAAGCGGCGGCCAAAGACGGCCCCCACCTCGGCATGGGGCGCACGAGGACATCCTGGTACGATGTGCCTCCGTTGGAGACGCGCGTCCAGCCCGAACATAAGAAGGTGGCCACATGCGAACCCTACCCCTACCCCCCACGATTTTTGAGGGGGAGGGTGGGGTTCACTTCGCTCGGGAGCTCTCGAACGAAGTGAACCCCACCCTGCCCCTCAAAATCCGTGGGGGGTAGGGGTAGGGTTCGCATGTGGCCCCCTAATAAGTACAGCACCTTGCAGTATCTCGCTTTCCGAGCGGCATGGCCAGAAAGCGACCGCTACGGGGCTGAAACTAGAACGCTTCCGAGCGTCAGGGGTCACCCTCGCGTGGCCGACGCACATATATAGTACAAGCATGCCTGGGTGGTGCCGCTCGGAGGCGGAGGAGGACGGCCACGACGCCGAAGCACGAAGCGAACCTTTCTCGTCGCGAACGCGGCAAACGCACAAGCCGGTGGGGCTGGATCGGGTTGCGGAAAAGCGGTTTGGCAGAGGGAGGGCGACCGCGGTGAGAGAGGATCGGGTGGCACGCGGGACGGGATGCACGGGTCTGGGTGCTGGCGCTGCGGCCACAGGGTCTGGGTGGAGCCTGGCCTGGGGGCAGCCACGGCTGCACGGCACGGACTTGCCGGGGCGCAGGGTGCGGTCACCCGAGTGGCCCTCCAGGATACCGACGGCGAAACAAACAGACGGATGTCCTTCTTCCCCCACGCGGGCAGCCCAACCAGCGTCCGCCATGTCCAGGTTGAGTGGCCGAGGTCCGCGGGGCCATTCAGGGTCAGCTGGCCAAGCAGACTGACGGCTGTAGTGAACGAGACGCCGCGCACGACGCGAATACCAATTATAAAAGACGAAGACGAACGAAAATGGGGATAACAAGACGTCTGTTGTTCACCACAACACACATAATCACACACACAAGCCGTCAACCTCTAAACGCCGAACATGAACTTCGCTAGACGCGATAGCGTCGACGGAGGAAAAGAAAGACAAGGAGGAGGAGGAGGAGGAGGAGGAGGAGGAGGAGGAGGAGGAGGAGGAGGAGGGGCAAGGGCGCCGTGCGACGGTCCCCTGCGACCCAAACGGCCATGTATACTGTATCTAAGAAACACCCAGCGGCAACCCAGGCGGGAGGAGCGAGGAGGGGAGAGGGGAATCGGGCAGAAGTACGGGTAGAGCAGCAGCAGCAGCAGCAACAGCAGCAGCAGCGAGCGGCATCGGCAGCAGGAGGACACCGCACGCAGGCTGCGTGCCCCCCCCCCTGCCCCCCCCCACGCCTGCAGCCGACACGACCCGCTGACCTCGAGCTAGCTTCCAACACGTTGGGAGCCCTCGTGGCGCCTCGCCCGCCCCCGCCCCCCAACCAAGGCTGCCACGGTCAGGGGATGCTGTCCTGGGCGACGGGGGGGGAGGGGGAAGAGAGGCGCAGGAGGAGGAGCGCTACGGTGAGGGCATTGGATAAGGGACCCTTCGATGAATAATCCAGGGCCTAGAAGCCGGTGGGGCACCAGCTGAGACTTGGCAGCGGATCTCACCGCCGCCGCCATCAGATGAGGAATGGACTACCTACCAGACCACTCTAACCCGACCCGAAGACCCGAACTTCGGGTCAGGGGGGGTATTGGGGGTTCCCCACGTGCTTCTGTCAGTGCTCCCCGACGCCCCCGCCACCCTTTCCCACCCGAAGTGGAGAGGAGGGCAGATCGGGGCCGTCGGGTGGCGCCGGAGTGGTCGTGGTGGGCGACGAGGAACCCCCCTGGGGGCCGGAGGCCACCTGGGCACATCCCCTCACAGACGCCCCCAGCGGCACCACGGGGCGGCGCGAGGGGGGCGGCCTCCCGAGAGGGCAGAGAAAAAAAAGGCAGGCGGGGGGCCTCCGCGGAGAGGCCTCCCAGAGCCGTGCCTCCTCGGGAGGCCGCCCCCCTCGGCCTGCCCCCCGCTGGCGCGCCGCCAGGGCGGGGGGGGGGGGGCACGCAGCAGGAGCTCGGCCACGAGAAGCCTTCCGCAGGAAACCCGACCCTGAGACAGCAGGAGGGTCCATCGATTCTGGGTGTGGAGAAGTCCCGCCTTCCGCAGCAAGACCATCGAAACCCGAGAAACCCAGGGCACCCTGGAGGCAAGCAGGGAGTTTCTTGGCATGGGTTTCCACTGCAGTTTCCTGGCGGCGCCGACCACCGCGTTGTCGGGCAGCCCCATCAGCGGCTCGCCGCAGATGGCGGAGGGAAAGAAAACGAGGACCATGGCTAAGGCTGAGCGCGGATACGCCGCCGGTGCTGACCTCGGTCATGGTCCACCTTGATCATCGTCCATTCGTGAAGCATCCTCGCGAATCGGCGACGGCCGGCATGGACCATGCCCAGGACTGGCGTCGACAAAATCCCCTGACACCTTGGCCATTGTCATCGTGTGTCTTCCCTCGGGATGGAGATTATGACGTCCCCCGGCCTCAGCAGCGGGTCCTGGCAATGGCTGGGCGAGACGGCATCGATGTGGACACCGCTCGCACACTCCTCGACGTCCAGCCCCGCGCCTGTCTCCTCGCGCAAGCGCGCAAAAGGTGGGGCAGGCTGTTCGGGGTGGGCGGCCCTACGAGAAGGCACCCCCACTGGCCACTACAGTGAAGGGGAACGTTAGGGGTAGGGAGGGACCCACTAAGGAGGGGGGAGGGGCGGAAACATCGGGCTTGAATCGGCGATACATCGCCGACAGATCGGCGATGGGCCCCCGATGGCGAGTCCACCCGCTCCAGGGCGGGGTGGGAGCTTTCAGGCCCCTATCGGCGACGAATGGGCGATTGGGGGCCGATGCGTTCCCCGCTGTGCCGATCCGCCCCCTGACCTTGCCCCTGGTTTTCGGGCCACCGGCTCTCCAGCGGCCCTCCCAGGACGATGCGGGCAACCCCAGAACGCCCTCGGCGAGGCGCAGCTACTGGAGAGCATCCCGTGAGCCGACGAGAACGCTCGAAAATCTCGAACCCCGAAACCTTCTGTGGCAACTCATGGGAGACTCCCACACCATCTTGCCAGCTCACGCGGCTGGACGCTGATCGACGCTGCTCGACGCCCCTCGGCACCAAATCAGCGCCATCCCGTCAAGTACCAGACGCTGGCCGACGCTGGCCGACGCCAACGACGAAACTATAAGGAAGCACACAAGGCCCCAAAATGTGATGCCGAGCGCAACCCGCTCCGTGGACGTGGCTGGCGGCAGGGCGCCCGGCTCTCCCGAGATGACCCCGCCCCCCCCCGCCGCCCCTCTGGACGAGCCCGCCCCCCCCCTTCCTCCTCCTCCTCCTCCTCCTCCTCCTCCTCCTCCTCCTCCTCCTCCTCCTCCTCCTCCTCCTCCTCCTCCTCCTCCTCCTCCTCCTCCTCCTCCTCCTCCTCCTCCTCCCCCTCCTCCTCCTCCTCCTCCTCCCTCCTCCTCCCCTCCTCTCCTCCTCCTCCTCCTCCTCCTCCTCCTCCCCTCCTCCTCCTCCTCCTCCTCCTCCTCCTCCTCTCCTCCTCCTCCTCCTCCTCCTCCTCCTCCTCCTCCTCCTCCGCCCCTCTGGACGAGCCCCCCCCCCCCCCCAACACCGCCCTGGCGGGCACCCTCTGCGCCGAGAGCGGCACGTCTCCTCGTCGACCCGCAGCCGGCACGAGCGCAGCGACTCCCACTCCTCGGGGGCGCTGCCGGAAGTCGTCCCGGCTCGACCCCGCGGCCCTCTGCGCCTCGACCGTTGCAGACACCGTGCGTGCTCGCAGAGGCGCTTCGGGCCCCGGGGCCCTCGCAGATCGGTCTGGCTCAAGAGATGGCGCGGAAGGATGGGGTCCAGGAGTCTGGTCGTGATTTCTCACGATGTCTCCTGTTTTGGCCGCGTCAAATCTCAGGGAAGGCGTACCCGACGTTTCGCCCCATTTGAAGCCCCTGGGGACCCTCTGGGTCTGTGGGGGTTGCTCTGGACGTAGTCTGCGCCTTGCTGGGAAAGCACGGGCCAGCTTGGGCTCGGGACACCGTTATGCTGCCCTACAGTTAGGTCGGGCCTGTCCTCACACAGGCGGCTCATCTTTGTTTTTTTGGTTTTTTATACTATATATACACACATACACACACACACACACACACACACGCACGCACGAACACACACACACACACACACATATATATATATATATATATATATATATATAATGCTCGACTAAATGATCAAAGAAAGTCACAACAAATCATCGAAAAATCGTCCCGATGCTGATTTGTTAACTAGTTTTGAAATTCCTTCTGTAGAAGGACATGCCCAACTTAACCCTACAGTGGCCCCAGGCAAGAATGACCTCCGGTGTTCAGCGGTCGGAAGACGTGGGGAAGGGCCAAACCCAAGCAGCCCAGACACGCCGGCCAGTGCTTGTGGTAGCCCTGTGTGGGCGCACCAGAGGGTCCCTCCCGCGAAAGGCCACGCTCACGCGTAGCCGAGCACTTGGTGGCAGCACCCGAACTCCCGGCGCGGGAAGGACTCGCTCAGCCACGGCGGCGGCGAGATCGGCACCGGCGCCGAGGGCGCGGCGGCCTCGCCGGGCGACAGCGCGCGAGCCATCGAGCGCACGGTCGCGCTCCGCGCCCGGAGGGCGAGATGAGGCCTTGGGCCGGCGGAGCTGCTGGTGGGCAGCGAGGGGCCCCAAATCTCCGAAATTGCGACGTGTTCGATCCAGGCGTTGTTCCTTGGCTTCGGCCTCTTGGGCTCGTTGTCGGACGGCGGGACAAGTAGAAGTGGACCCCGCCGCTGAACTCTCCCCGGGGCCGCGGATTGACAAGAATCACCTTGGCAACAATGTCCCCCGCACACGCAGCGGCCGTGCGTCCGCGACAGGGGCTCGCCGCATGCGGCTGGCCCAAGATCGCCCCTCCCCCTGATTCAAGGGGTCGGCGGATGTGGCGTGAGCCTTTAAAATCACATCGGGGGATGTCTGGTATCACAGCCAAGACGGGCGACAGGTGGCATGCCCGCCCCGGCGCGCCCGCGTGGGCGCAGCAGGCGGCGCGGGGAACGGGGGGGCGCACGAGGGGCGGATGCCCTTCTTGCCCTTGTGCACGGAGCCCTCCGTCGCCTGCCTCGTTGTGCCCCTCCTCCCCCTGCCCCCCTCCTCGGGCTGCTGGTGCCTTTGGGTGCTCCCCACCCCTGGCAGAGATCTGACGACGGATCCTCACGACAGACTGACTGACTGACTGACGGACGGACGGACAGACACACACACACACACAGACAGACAGACAGACACACACACAGGCAGGCAGGCAGAGAGACAGACAGGCAGACAAGCAGTCAGGCAGGCAGGCAAGCGGGCAGGCAGGCAGGAAGGCAGGCAGACAGACTGACAGACAGACCAACAAAAAGTAACCCGCGCGCGCACCGAGGATTTTAAGCGGCACGGGAAGACGGCCTCGACGGGGCCTACCCCAAGGACAGCCTCACCCATGCCAAGCGGAGAACCGCGGGCGGGGGATGCCCCAAGAATCGCCCGTCCTCCTCCTCCTCCTCCTCCTCCTCCTCCTCCTCCTCCTCCTCCTCCTCCTCCTCCTCCTCCTCCTCCTCCTCCTCCTCCTCCTCCTCCTCCTCCTCCTCCTCCTCCTCCTCCTCCCCCGACGACGACGACGACGACGACGACGACGACGCCTGCGCTCTCGGGCGCATCCTCGTCCGCGCCGCACGCGACCTCCCCCGGCGCCGTAAGCAGCCCGGGAGAATGGCGCGGTTCCCGCGGTGTAGTCCACGCCCACCTCCGTCGCACCCCAAAGGGGCATTGTAAAATCGGCCGCCGAAGAGGGGAGGAGGGGGGGGAGGCGGGGGGGGAGGTCGCCGTCGAGCGTGGAGGAGACAGGGGGAGGTTGGGTCGCCGCGGGCCTTAAGGGGGGAGGAGTGCAACCGTTAACTTCGTAGGTCACGTCCCCCCCTGAATGTAGCTAGGTAACCCTCAGACAGAGGACCTAGTGGAACTTCTTGCAAAGGTAGATGGAGAACATGGAGTGTATGATGTTGGCTGTAGCGCAGTAATATGCTCAGCTTCTTCTTGGATTCAATCGGTACGTCCGCGCTCCGTACCCTGTTTAGCCAAGAACGGTAAGTCCTCGTAAATATTCACCGACGGCGGGAAGTTGATGTAGCCAGTGTCGGGAACAAGCGGGTGCTCCTGGAAGCCGCTATACTGGTTGAAGAAACCGCCGAAGTAGCGCCCCCCCCGCTCTTGGTCGGGTTGTAAACGAGGTTCTCGTCGTTCTTGAAGATGATGTTCTGATGGAACGAGTCGTACAGCTCCAACTTCGTAAACATCTCCGTGGGGTAACGCTGGAAAACAAGACCATACATAGGTAGGGACGTCGCCTTGTTCAGGTCGCCGACATTAGGCGTAGGGTACGTCGGTAACTGCGGCATGAACGTCTTGTCCACAGTGGGAATCTATACCTGGAAGATCGTCGCGTCCGTGTACTCCTCGGTCTTGATCATCAGGTAGCTGGGGCGCGCGAGACAGAAGTTGCGCTGCAGATGCGCAGGGTTCTGCCAACGCGGCCCCAGGCCATCACGATCGTCTGGCACTGACATGTAGGAGCCTTATGGACGCATAGCTCTGAAAACTTGCACGTCTCTGGATTCAGCGCACTTGTAGAAGTGCTGGAAGGCGGCATGGATGTCGAAGACGTAGAAGCCGCAGGGGCCGCTCTGGTTCTGCGACATCTTGGCGAGTAGTTGGGCCCAGCAGTCGGACAAGGGCTCGCCCGAAATAGTACACGGGAGCCGGTAGAAGTCCTGGACCCAGACACTGATCTGGCCACGCGGTCCCTCTGCGTATGAGGTCGCGGTCTCGTCGGGACAAGTAGTCTCGTGCTGCGAATGGTAGTCGGCGTGGCGCGACATATAGATGCTGACGGCAGCACCCCGCATGGGGCAATGTAAGCTAACGCTTGAGCCGCGCGCTATACACGAAGTAAAGAGCATGCAGGTGTCTGACCGTCGTAGTACACCTGCGACCAGCATGGAGTACACAACATAGCAGATGGCGTTGGCGGTATTGGGTGCCTTGCCAATATGCGTCAGCATAGTTGTTGAAGTGGGCAACGCACCACCTGACATTGTCGAGACCAGCCGCGCAGAGGAGGAGGTGGGTAAACCAAAGAGGAACAACCTCCATTGCTCTGTAATGAGTAGCTGTCATGGCAGCTTGGAGCGGCACAGCACGCAAGTAGTCTCACCGCCGCCGCAGAGTAACTGCCACCAGCATGGAGTACACAGCATAGCAGAAGTTGGACACACGGGGTCTGGCCAAGATGCATCAGCACAGATGGGGAAGTGACAGACGCACCACCTGACTACGTCGAGACCACTTGTCGGGCTGGGGTCGTGGCAGGCGGGGCACAGAGAGACAATCCGCATTCTGCGGCGCACTGGGTGGCCAGCGCATGGTAGCATGAAAGCGGCACGGCACGTCAGTAGTAGGACGCCTGTACCAAAGAGCTACTGGTCTCTGCGCTGCTCGCGCGGCGGCTCAGGCAAGAGGCAGTGCCGCGCGCTTGGCCGAGCGCAGGGTGTCCTCCTCGTTCGTCTTGTCGGCATCCTCCACAGGCAGCGGGTTCTGGTCGTACATGATCGTGGGCTTGCAGTAGTGGACGCCGGGCAGCTTGTAGTCACCGTAGCCCGCGCAGTAGTCCTCGTACATCAGGCGGCGGATGTACCCCCAGTCGAAGTCGACGTAGCGCGTGAGCTTCCAGCGGAAGTTCCTATCAGTAACCGAGCCCTCGGTAATCACCTCCCCGTCGATCGTCTGGTATTTCATATTGTAGGACTCGGCGAGGCCCGTGCAGGGGTTGTAGCGGAGCTTCTGGTGGCAGCGCATCCTGCACCCAGGAGTCGTCGTAGGTCATCAGCTGCGCGAGATAACGGGGTTCAATGGGGCCCCGTCCCGACATGAGCTGGTCCACGATCGCGGTCTTCACGTTGGCGATAGCCATGTCGGTGGTAGCCTTGATGGTAATATCCTCTATCGCCATGGATAGTACGTCGAGCGGCACCGTAATCTCCTTGGGGTAGAGCCTCTGCTTCGCGTAAGGGTACCACACGTTGGGGGCGCAGAAATCGCCAGGTAGAGGATGTAAGGCTCCGTGCTCCGTAGAGCGGGGGCCGACATCCCTCCCGTTGATCTGGACGTCCTTCTCCGTCGCCGGTGCCGTGTAGACGTCGATGTGGTACCCCTCGTAAAACTTGCAATGGTTGCACAAGGCGCCCTTGATGTCCGCGACTTGCGCGGAGGCCCTGCACCCGTAGATCTCGGGGTGGATGCGCGACTTCACTGGCATCTGCAACCAGCCAGCTGGGTTCGTACTGGGCGTGACGATGGCGCACTAGTTGTACGTCTCCTGCTTGACGACGTCGCCGGCGTAGGTCTACTTGATCCAGGTGATGAGCATCGCAGTAGAGCCCAGGTGGTAGCTGCACCGGCACAGATGCTGGCGGTAGCTGGCACATTTGAGCCGGGTAGCTACATACGGCGCAAGAAGGTGGCTGGTGATGGTGGCTCATGGCACACCTAAGAATAGGCACACAGTCAGTCGTCTTCCAAAAATACACGAGCGCTGGTGGGTTGGGTTCGTATCGCTTACATGTTGGAGGAATACACCGCACGTGTGATACGGAGGCTCCACCATTTGTGTGTAGGTGCACGTCGTACTGTTACGTCCCTGACACACGGCGCAGTGACATACTAGCATCTCCCATACTCTAGCGATCCTCCATCTCGTCCTTGTATTTATTCTGGCAAAGCGGACTGCACGTGAAGCACGCGCGCATGAGCCAGACTATAGTGGTGACATGCAGACTGGAGTAGGTGTCCAGGCTGTTATAATGGTTGGTATGTTATCCGTGCAGGCCCTTGTCGTGGTAAGGGTGTCGATGATTGTGGGCGTTGGTGTGACTGGGATCGTGGGCGAATATGGCTCAATCTTCAACTCTTAGGGGTCTGGTTGGTAGGTTGTTCGTGATTGTCCGACCTGCTTGGCGCAGTCGGGCTGCATCGCACGGCCAGGGTCGATCTCGACATTAAACGGGCTGAGAGTGGTGTGCACGTAGTTCGGGGAAGTACCTGGTGCGCACCTGTGGTCCCGCGCTGTCGTGTAGAGGTCCGTGATGAAGTTGCGCAACTGTGGGGGGTATTCCTTATATGGTGGCGTGTTGAACCCTGACCTTGTGGCATCACGATCCAAGGCTGTAGTTTGGCGACTCAGGTGGTTATATCGTCCTTGGTTGGTCGTACCTGATAGTTTTTGGGCTGCTTCCAGTACGTGAACTGTCAGTAAGGTCGTTGGCTGTTTTGCCTCCGCGCCAAGCATGCATTGGTCGAATGATGTGGTTGTGGCCTGTGGCGCTGCCAGCAGGGTTCTCAGCTCGAGCAGCTTCCAGGTGGAGGCGCATCGAGCATGTTCCATGTCGCAGGTATGCGGATGTTCCATGGTCGCAGGTATGACGATGAGTAGGGAATCCAGGAGTAGCTCCAACGTGTTACGTAGCAGTTGGTTGCCGATGCGAACCTGTGCACGTTCCTTGGACGCCAGACCCTTCTAGCCCCAAGTTTGTAGGGTGTCTCGTAATACTCGTGGGTCCCCGTCTGTACTATC